AAAGAATAAACTTTTTCGCGCTCGCAAACAGTTTTACCCTCTCCATACCGTACTTTAGCGAGAAAACTCGAATTTTGGGTGGAAATTTCAAATTTAAAATTTTCATCTGGAAACACTTCGACGCATATCGTTCCGCAATCACTGCATTCTCCTTAAACTCGAGAGACCACTCCGGAGAACGCGTTTTGAGGTGATTGAGGAGATGAAAGAAGTATAAGTAACAATAAAGAAATTCGACTATTAGCTTTTACTTTGAGAATTTTAAATCACCCTTGCAGGGTGTTATAATTTAAGCCATAAGGTTTCAGGTTTCCACCGGATTTTCATTAAATTTAAGATATAGACATTTTACATCATTCTAAATTTTCGGTTGTATCGTTAGACATTGATGAAAATGCAACACTATGAATGTAAAATTGTAACTCTAAAACTGTAAATAAGTATACGCCTCCGTCGCGCATATTGTACTCCTTGCCTTTTGTTCTGTGCTCGTCATTGCACATTGGGCTAAATCGCGTAATTTTTGGCATAAAGTCGAAATTTTCATAGAAACGAGTACGGATTTTGGTTACATTACCCTGCAGTACGATTCATCAGTAATAAATCAACGATTCATCAACAGCCAAGGCGTTGTTGATGGATTATCGATAAATGGCCATACAAATTGTTGATGAATTTATCATGGGCATGTCCTAGGCTTTCATCAACAACAATTCATCAACAATTAATGAATGATTCATCAACAATTCATCGAAGATTCATCAACATTCATCAATGGCCATGGTACTGTCGATGACTGCCAACGAGACTACCGTCGTAACTGAATCGTGGGCAGAGTGTCGACTCGATAGAAGTCGCAATCGGCGCGTTTATGACTGTTGATGACAGTGGCCTATTAATGACATTCGGTACTGCAGGGTATCTTAAAGTACATACATTAACTAGCACAAATCCATCGATAAAAGTATCTTATGCCAGCCTTAAGCTTTGACCAGGGCTGCAAAGTTCGATCTACACGTAGGTTTTTTTTTTTTTTTTTTTTCATTTGACTGAATGTATTGTAAATTACTGTAGTGTAGCAACTTATACAATAGTGAGCAACAAGTAGGTGATTTCACAATTAAAAGAGCACGTGTTTTTCTAGCTCTTTGCAAGTAAAATTGAGTGACTCAGTAAAACAAAATATTTTAAGTTAATTATGGATAATATAGCTGATGGTATGTATAATTGTAACCCCAAAATCGTTATATGTGTTAATTATTTATTTGTGAACTGTTTTTGTAAAGTCTCTTGATCTGGATAATGTGATCTAACACACTTGTGAATTGTGGAGTAGAAACTAACTCTCCGTCAAGTTGCGCCTAATTTTGTTTTTGTTAAATATAGTTAAATGTTCTCCCCAAAATTTTTGATTTTAGGAACGTTTGAGTTTAGTCATGTCATTCTGTTTAATGTTTGACTTGAAAATAATAGGTCGAAAAAAGCAGTTTACAGATGGATTTTGGATGAAATTAAATGAAAAACTATGAACGATGCAGTTAAAAGTGAAATCAATAAGAAGACATGCATATATATTTTATAAAACGAAATTTCGCGAAGTGCAACATAACTATGTTTATCCAATTGAAAAGAAAAGCACTCAAAATGGCTTTTATCGTGTATGCTTATTATTGCGGACCACACAGAATTATCACTATCTGAAAATAAAATGAAAATAAATATATACAAAATTTCAATATCTTATAAAGACCAGTGTCATTGACCATAGTTATGTTAACAAGATCGCACCGGCCAACCTGCTGACCTAGCAATGGGCCGGACGATCTTGCACAGACGGCAAACACAACCTATTTGCGTGGCGCCTGTGAGCTTATGTTAGACATAAGATCATTCCATAAGTCCAGTTCTGTTTTCAAAGTACCCCAATAAAGAGCTAATTCTCATAAGTACTACTCCGGCCATCGCCGTTAGTATTATTTAATATAATAGGTAATTCTGCCTTACGGGGTTACATAAAGTTAGAGGGTCAAAAAAAGCAAAAATTTCCAGAGTGTTTTCTAAAGAAACTTTTTAATTTATTGATCCAAAAATTTATACGCATATTATAGTGTCTTTTAGCTGTATTTTAAGACTTAGAGCTAGTAAAAATATTTATTTGGAAAAGAGTTATAGCTGATCTCCGGGAGCTCATCCGAAATTAAAAAGCCAATGTCAAATCTAGTAATTAATCGAAGGAATAAGCAAAATATTTTTTTTGACAAAATGACGATTTCGCAAAAAAAAAAAAAATAAATTTTCACCGAAATTTCGGCCTTAAATTGCTTATAAAAAATAATTTATTTATTAAGGGACAAAATCCTCGACTAATTACTAAAAAATATATCTAAGAAGGTCGTTTTAAAATTTGAGATTAATTGGGCTAGTCGATTTTGAGAACTGTTGGTCACCGACTTTGAAAACACCATTTTGGAATGCACTTTACATAGAGCACTCTGAAACGCCTTTTCAAATTTACCTATAACTCAGGAAACATTCTCCGAAACTAAATGAAACTGTGTGTATATTCTTAAATGTATATACATTAAGAAAGTAAAATTAAAAAAATCGATTTTTTTTAATTCTAACTGTATGTAACCCTTAAGGGGGCAGGTACAACGGAGATAGTATCTCCCTTCTAACACTTAGAAAGAAGAAAACCAGTGGCAACCGCCGCTCATCTACCACCTAGAAGGAACAAGCCAGTGGCGAACAAACTTCTGTTAACTTATAAGTTCCTGGAGATAGAAAGAGAGACAGATGTGACAGCCGAGAAAGCGCACAGCCCGTAACGCCGGGAGTCCTTATAGGTAATCTCCATCCGAAACTGAGTACAATGATCGCCTTTGTGCACTTCCGGAAATGGAACACCGAAGCATAATAGAAATTTAAAGTTAATGAAAAGTGCGGAAACGAAAGGAAGCGAAAACATTCTAACCCTACCAACGTTCGGCCACGATGATTTACAGTCGACTTAAAATGTAGTGTGAAAAAAGCACATGGGGAAGCACTTCTAATTAGTTATCAAAGAACTCTTTCTACAACAATTCGAAAGCAACGAAATTACAAAGTTCAATGTTTTTAAAGGTGACCCAAAAGCCGGGGAATGTTTATTAATTATGTAAACCGGCAGTTCACTAATTTGACGGCCAAATCGAAATCAATGATAGTAAAAAACAAGAAAGGAAGCTAACTTCGGCACGCCGAAGTTTATATACCCTTGCAGATAGAACTTCGATGACTAGGAATCCATGCAATATAAATATATATATTAATATTAAAAAACAATGAAGTAATAGCTGCTTTCATTTCATTCACCTATACATATTATATTTTCAGTTTTACATTCACAGATTTGCCTTTTTGCTCCACATCTAACGATCGTATGGCACCTATATGATATAGTCGTCCGAGTTTTATAAAATTTGACACAAAATTTAAGACTGATATAAAATGGCTATATCTCAAAATTAATGAAAATCTGCTGAAAACTGAAAACGTTATAATTTTTAATTGTATTCATTTTTTGATCGTTCCTATGGCAGCTATGTTATATAGTAGTCCGGTTTTTTTTATAACTTTACACAAAATTGTACATTAAAATAAAATGGCTATATCTCATATTTGATGAAAATCTGTTGAAAACTTAAAATGTTATACTTTTTAATTGAATTAATTTCTCGATCGTTCCTATGGGAGCTATATGATATAGTCGTCCAATTTTCATAAAATTTTACACAAAATTGTAGAATAATATGAAATATATATATCTCAAATTTGATCAAATTCTGTTGAAAACTAAAAATGTTATAATTTTTTTTTTTTTAATTTTTCGATCATTCCTATGGCAGCTATTTGATATAGTCGTCCGATCCGGCCCGTTCCGACATATATACGAGTGAGAGTATATAGAAGACAAACTGCAAAGTTTCATTCAGATAGCTTCAAAACTGAGAGACTAGTTTTCGTAGAAACGGACAGACGGACATGGCTAGATCGACTCGGCTGTTGATCCTGATCATGAATATCTATACTTTATATAGTCGGAGGTGCCTCCTTCACTGCGTTGCAAACTCCTGACTAAAATTATAATACCCCGCAAGGGTATAAATATAGACTTGTAAGTTGTACTAACGCATACCGCCCAAATAGACACTAGTCTGCAACGTAAAGTTTTTGCAACTGATGTCAAAACGCGCACAGAACTGCAGAACGAATGGAAAGAATTTTACTAGAGTATATAGAAGACTAACTGCAAAGTTTTATTTAGATTCAAAAATTGAAGGATTAGTTTTCGTAGAAATGGATAGACGGAAAGAAAGACAGACGGACATAGCTAGGTATACTCGACTTTTGATAATGATCATGATATGGTCGGAGATGACTCCTTCACGGCGTTGAAAACTTCTGACTGAAATTATAATACCCTGAAAGGGTATTAGCTCACCCAATGGTTTGAAACAGGCAGTATTATTATATTCGTCAAGTAAAGCAACTCGTACCTACAATTACTTAATAATAGCGCCAAAAGCGTTTTCTTGCTTTTTAGCGGTATTTACCTCGATTGGTTACATTTCGAAACTTTTGACAATAGATGTTCAAAAGTTCATTTGTTGACTTGTTTGGGTCGTTTCCTATGCGGCTGAAAATATCGACTAAGTATCTCGATATATTCTGTAATTCAGTTATTTAGCCGTATAGAGAATACCCTAATTATATTTTTGTTGTATCGGATGTTTCTGTGTTGTTATACACTGTGCACTTTAGCTTTTTGAGGTGATTCCGGAGATTCCCTATAACTCCTACGCCTGTAAATATTTTTCAACAAAAAACTTACAATGAATTGATCACATGTTATATTGTATTTAAATAAAGCTAACTTTAGCTAATTCGCCGACAATCTTTTTTTAGTTGCTCACTTTGCACAGAATTTACCATAATTATCCTTTCCACCCTTGTCTTACCAATGGATTCTTAGATGTCGCGTAATCAGTGGTCACAACTAACGGCTTCATCCAGAACTCAGCACCTTTGATTAGAATCTCCTGAGTCTTATTTCCTCCACGATCAACATTAAATAAGGATTTCAACAAATCAACATTCACCCATTCTCCTAGTCCCGATGGAATCCTCTGTCGAAATTCGAATATTTTGGCTTTATGTGTAATACTTGAGTTAGTTGACCGTCTCACAGCCCGGTAAATAGTTACAACTATATCTTTGCTTTGTTGCTTTTCGATCTCTTCGATGAGTTCTGGCTGATGTGTGCTTATCCAGTCCCATCCGCGTAGATAAAGATGAAGTGTAACATAGGATAAGTCGGTATAACTATTGGCAATTTTAAATCGCAGAAAATCGGCTTTCGGTTTATTTCTATTTCGATTGTTTCGGGCGTGTGGCTGGAATTCTAAATTAAACAAATATGAAATTTACTCTAGATATACAAAACTTTAAAATTAGATATTTAGATATAAAAAAGCAACCAAGATCGAAATCGAAATGATCATAATCATAATCAGTTTGTGTTTACTTAAAAACTAAATAAAAATTAAATCAAAATTTTTGTAATGGATGCCATACGGTGAAACTTAAATTTAATGCTACAAAACTTTGAATCCCAGTATTAAGTAAAAAACAAATTTTTTCCTAATAAGATTATATAAAGATATTAAGATATTAAGATGTTAAGATATTAAGATATTAAGATAAAATATAAGATATTAAGATATTAAGATATTAAGATATTAAGATATTAAGATATTAAGATATTAAGATATTAAGATATTAAGATATTAAGATATTAAGATATTAAGATATTAAGATATTAAGATATTAAGATATTAAGATATTAAGATATTAAGATATTAAGATATTAAGATATTAAGATATTAAGATATTAAGATATATTAAGATATTAAGATATTAAGATATTAAAATAATAAAAATAAGATATTAAGATATAAGATATTAAGATATTAAGATATTAAGATATTAAATATTAAGATATTAAGATATTAAGATATTAAATATTAAGAATTAAGATATTAAATATAAGATATTAAGATATTAAGATATTAAAGATATTAAGATATAAATATTAAGAATTAAATATTAAATATTAAAATTAAGATATTAAATATTAAGATATTAAGATATTAAGATATTAAGATATTAAGATATTAAGATATTAAAATATTAAGATATTAAGATATAAGATATTAAGATATTAAGATATTAAGATATTAAGATATTAAGATATTAAGATATTAAGATATTAAGATATTAAAGATATTAAGATATTAAGATATTAAAGATATTAAGATATTAAGATATTTAAGATATTAAGATATTAAGATATTAAGATATTAAGATATTAAGATATTAAGATATTAAGATATTAAGATATTAAGATATTAAGATATTAAGATATTAAGATATTAAGATATTAAGATATTAAGATATTAAGATATTAAGATATAAGATATTAAGATATTAAGATATTAAGATATTAAGATATTAAGATATAAGATATTAAGATATTAAGATATTAAAGATATTAAGATATTAAGATATTAAGATATTAAGATATTAAGATATTAAGATATTAAGATATTAAGATATTAAGATATTAAGATATTAAGATATTAAGATATTAAGATATTAAGATATTAAGATATTAAGATATTAAGATATTAAGATATTTAAGATATTAAGATATTAAGATATTAAGATATTAAGATATTAAGATATTAAGATATTAAGATATTAAGATATTAAGATATTAAAGATATTAAGATATTAAGATATTAAGATATTAAGATATTAAGATATTAAGATATTAAGATATTAAGATATTAAGATATTAAGATATTAAGATATTAAGATATTAAGATATTAAGATATTAAGATATTAAGATATTAAGATATTAAGATATTAAGATATTAAGATATTAGATATTAAGATATTAAGATATTAAGATATTAAGATATTAAGATATTAAGATATAAGATATTAAGATATTAAGATATTAAGATATTAAGATATTAAGATATTAAGATATTAAGATATTATAAGATATTAAGATATTAAGATATTAAGATATTAAGATATTAAGATATTAAGATATTAAGATATTAAGATATTAAGATATTAAGATATTAAGATATTAAGATATTAAGATATTAAGATATTAAGATATTAAGATATTAAGATATTAAGATATTAAGATATTAAGATATTAAGATATTAAGATATTAAGATATTAAGATATTAAGATATTAAGATATTAAGATATTAAGATATTAAGATATTAAGATATTAAGATATTAAGATATTAAGATATTAAGATATTAAGATATTTAAGATATTAAGATATTAAGATATTAAGATATTAAGATATTAAGATATTAAGATATTAAGATATTAAGATATTAAGATATTAAGATATTAAGATATTAAGATATTAAGATATTAAGATATTAAGATATTAAGATATTAAGATATTAAGATATTAAGATATTAAGATATTAAATATAAGATATTAAGATATTAAGATATTAAGATATTAAGATATTAAGATATTAAGATATTAAGATATTAAGAATATTAAGATATTAAGATATTAAGATATTAAGATATTAAGATATTAAGATATTAAGATATTAAGATATTAAGATATTAAGATATTAAGATATTAAGATATTAAGATATTAAGATATTAAGATATTAAGATATTAAGATATTAAGATATTAAGAATTAATTAAGATATTAAGATATTAAGATATTAAGATATTAAGATATTAAGATATTAAGATATTAAAGATATTAAGATATTAAGATATTAAGATATTAAGATATTAAGATATTAAGATATTAGATATTAAGATATTAAGATATTAAGATATTAAGATATTTAAGATATTAAGATATTAAGATATTAAGATATTAAGATATTAAGATATTAAGATATTAAGATATTAAGATATTAAGATATTAAGATATTAAGATATTAAGATATTAAGATATTAAGATATAAGATATTAAGATATTAAGATATTAAGATATTAAGATATTAAGATATTAAGATATTAAGATATTAAGATATTAAGATATTAAGATATTAAGATATTAAGATATTAAGATATTAAGATATTAAGATATAAATAAGATATTAAGATATTAAGATATTAAGATATTAAGATATTAAGATATTAAGATATTAAGATATTAAGATATTAAGATATTAAGATATTAAGATATTAAGATATTAAGATATTAAGATATTAAGATATTAAGATATTAAGAATAAATATTAAGATATTAAGATATTAAGATATTAAGATATTAAGATATTAAATATTAAGATATTAAGATATTAAGATATTAAGATATTAAGATAAAAAAAAATTAAGATATTAAGATATTAAGATATTAAGATATTAGATATTAAGATATTAAGATATTAAGATATTAAGATATTAAGATATAAGATATTAAGATATTAAGATATTAAGATATTAAGATATTAAGATATTAAGATATTAAGATATTAAGATATTAAGATATTAAGATATTAAGATATTAAGATATTAAGATATTAAGATATTAAGATATTAAGATATTAAGATATTAAGATATTAAGATATTAAGATATTAAGATATTAAGATATTAAGATATTAAGATATTAAGATATTAAGATATTAAGATATTAAGATATTAAGATATTAAGATATTAAGATATTAAGATATTAAGATATTAAGATATTAAGATATTAAGATATTAAGATATTAAGATATTAAGATATTAAGATATTAAGATATTAAGATATTAAGATATTAAGATATTAAGATATTAAGATATTAAGATATTAAGATATTAAGATATTAAGATATTAAGATATTAAGATATTAAGATATTAAGATATTAAGATATTAAGATATTAAGATATTAAGATATAATATAAGATATTAAGATATTAAGATATTAAGATATTAAGATATTAAGATATTAAGATATTAAGATATTAAGATATTAAGATATTAAGATATTAAGATATTAAGATATTAAGATATTAAGATATTAAGATATTAAGATATTAAGATATTAAGATATTTAAGATATTAAGATATTAAGATATTAAGATATTAAGATATTAAGATATTAAGATATTTAAAGATATTAAGATATTAAGATATTAAGATATTAAGATATTAAGATATAAGATATTAAGATATTAAGATATTAAGATATTAAGATATTAAGATATTAAGATATTAAGATATTAGATATTAAGATATTAAGATATTAAGATATTAAGATATTAAGATATTAAGATATTAAGATATTAAGATATTAAGATATTAAGATATTTAAGATATTAAGATATTAAGATATTAAGATATTAAGATATTAAGATATTAAGATATTAAGATATTAAGATATTAAGATATTAAGATATTAAGATATTAAGATATTAAGATATTAAGATATTAAGATATTAAGATATTAAGATATTAAGATATTAAGATATTAAGATATTAAGATATTAAGATATTAAGATATTAAGATATTAAGATATTAAGATATTAAGATATTAAGATATTAAGATATTAAGATATTAAGAATATTAAGATATTAAGATATTAAGATATTAAAAAGATATTAAGATATTAAGATATTAAGATATTAAGATATAAAATTAAGATATTAAGATATTAAAGATATTAAGATATTAAGATATTAAGATATTAAGATATTAAGATATTAAGATATTAAGATATTAAGATATTAAGATATTAAGATATTAAGATATTAAGATATTAAGATATTAAAATATTAAGATATTAAGATATTAAGATATTAAGATATTAAGATATTAAGATATTAAGATATTAAGATATTAAGATATAAGAATAAGATATTAAGATATTAAGATATTAAGATATTAAGATATTAAGATATTAAGATATTAAGATATTAAGATATTAAGATATTAAGATATTAAGATATTAAGATATTAAGATATTAAGATATTAAGATATTAAGATATTAAAGATATTAAGATATTAAGATATTAAGATATTAAGATATTAAGATATTAAGATATTAAGATATTAAGATATTAAGATATTAAGATATTAAGATATTAAGATATTAAGATATTAAGATATTAAGATATTAAGATATTAAGATATTAAGATATTAAAATTAAGATATTAAGATATTAAGATATTAAGATATTAAGATATTAAGATATTAAGATATTAAGATATTAAGATATTAAGATATTAAGATATTAAGATATTAAGATATTAAGATATTAAGATATTAAGATATTAAGATATTAAGTATTAAGATATTAAGATATTAAGATATTAAGATATTAAGATATTAAGATATTAAGA